GGACAGGGCCTGGGAGAGCTGGTTCTTACCAAGGACAGAGGTCTAGTGACCAGACCAGATCACAGGCCTTTGTGCCCATGGAGGGACCGCAGGCTGGACAGAGAGACAGGCGCTCTCGCCAGCCCCTCAGGGGCCCTCTTTGCCCCAGTCACATGCCTGAGCCCGTCCTCCCTGTGGTCGCCTTGCCCTATGGGTACCCGCAGAGCAGGGGCATTTGAGGAATCGGTGAGATGTTTGCTGTGCATGAAGCACCCAGCATGAGCCTGGCCCAGAAGAGGAGTGAGTTTGGTGCCTCTTTCCTGCCTGCCTTCAGGCAGGGTTAGACCACCCCTTTCCCAGGCCCTGAGTTTCCTAAGCCCCTGCCCGGGAGTTCCCTCTCAGCTCCAATTGCACTATGCTGGTCCAGTGAAAACCCCCAGCGGGGGACTGGCTCATGTCTCGAAAGCTGCCTTTTAGAGGGGACGCCGCCCAGTTGCATAACCAAACATTAGGAGCTCAAATGAGAAATCACAGCTTGGAATCACATCCAGAGCCTTGACCAGCCTCTCAAGTCATAAATCATATTCTGTCCTCTGAGAACAGTGGCCGAGAAGAACTCTGGCCACCTCGCACACAAGCTGCTTCTAGCAGTAGTCACAGTGCGAGCAATGGGTAGGAAGTAAGGCAACAACCCATCAGGTGCAAAACCTCCCTGCCCAGGGGAGGGATTCAGTGTCAGCAAGAGGGGCTGAACCCCGAAGTGCTGGGTCCTCCCCTCCCCAGAAGCCCAGGCCTCCATCTGGCCCCCTCCCCCAGCCCCAAGCAGACAGGGGCCCACTGGGGATTCTCAGGGCTTTTACGGAATGCCTCTTTAAAGTGCCTAATTTTAATGAAGCAATCTTTCATCTGCCATCCTGTTTCCAAGAGACAAGTTTGGAAGGAATTTTCACAAGTCACTAAGGCCCTGGAAGTGTGTTTGCTGGTGGAAAATGTAAGGCTTCGAGACATGCACAGAGATGTTCTCACTGGGGGTGGAGGTGGAGGAGGCAGGAGGAGGAAATAAAACAACGAGAAGAAATGCTTCCAGAGCCAAGTGGAGGAAGGATGCAGAGGTGCAACCGAAAGGGGAGTGTTTGACTGGAAATGTATGAGGGGTAATTCAGCCAGAAAACACAGAGTCCCTCCTGGGGGAAATTCTATGCAGCTTGAATAAATGCTAGGGATGGGAGGGTGTATGGGGGAGGAGGGGAGAGAGGGAAAGGGCGGGAGGGGAACCGTTCTGGACAGCCAAACGAGGTAGGTAGGGGGACGCAGTGCATACACACGATGCTGCACAGCAGAAAAACTCTCGGTTTCATCCCCTCTGGAGCTCTTTGAGCCAAAAGGAAAAACAAACAAGCAAAACAAAGCAGCTGAACTGGAGAGCGAATGGAGCGCTGGTCTGCCGGGTCTATGCCTGCGACAGTGGGGGGTGATAGCTCGGACCCAGACCTGCCCCTCTGGAGGTGCTGCCTTTCTCCCGAGCACCTCTGGGCCTGTATTTTGCACAGAGGGAGCAGCTTCCCTTGCCCATTTCTCAGGGGCTCTCACAGCAGTTGCTGGCCGCTGCATCACTCGCTCACCCTTATGCTACCCATCCTCCGCAGGGGACATGACGCCCCCTTGGTAGGAGATCAAGGCTGACACCAACATGTTTAGCACCACCCAGGCCTTCTCTGAGGTTCTTGGCCCCACTGGGAAAGGGGTGGGCAAACATGTATGAACTCACGAAGAGAACATTTGGCAAATGAGGAGGCTATGGGATTTAAATACCAGCAAGAGCAAAGGGGCGAAGAAGGGAGAAGTCAGGGAGGCACATTTCATAGGCTACTCTGAGAGCCCCCTGATGAGATGCTGGGGGGGGGGAGTCCCTGGGTTAAAGGAGGTGGTTTTGTTGACAGAAAGTGACTCTCCTGAGTCACTAAATCAGGGGAAAGTCTCCTTCCAGGTTGACGGGAGATGCACCTGGGGTGGGGGATGACATAGCGAGGCACAAGGGTGTGCGTGTCCACTGCAGCTGGTGGCGAACAAAGGAGCGGTTTCCCACCTCTCCCTGTTCACGCTCCCCGCCAGCACCACACCCTGGGGCGGGGAGTGAGGCTCAGGCTCAGAGGGCTGCAGATCCGGAGAATGGAAAACATCAGCCTGAGCTGCACACCAACGGCATTTTCAACGTGCTTCTGTTTACTCCATTTTCTGCTAAGAAGATACTACTTGTAAATGCAAGATTTTAAGGATGTTATCTTCAGCCTGGAGAAAAAGAAAGTGTAATTTGCAGCTTTGCTAAGAGTGATAACCTCATTAAGTAATGGGATTCGCTGATTAACTGCTGCTAACAAAAACCTCTTGCCAAACCTGTTAGTCTGAAAAGAGCAGCAGAGCTTCTGTCAGATCCACGAGTCCCCACCTCCCAGCCCCAGGGGTTTTACGGAAACACTTCTCCTTTCAATAGCCTTTGCCTTTCAGTGTTTTTTATTGCTTCCACTAATAGGTTAATGATAAATTAGGAGCCACTCCTAGATGGATATCGAATCAACCTTGGCAAAGAGTTCAAGGAGAAAAAGCAATTCCACTTGAAAAAAATGACTTTTTTATGGAAAGGGTAATGGGAAAATATGCAAGTTCATTGAGCACTGAAATGAATGGAAGTTCTTCGCCAGAGATCAGAAGGCAAGATCTGTCGGTGCCCAGCGTGTGACGGTGCTTCAGATTCCTAGAATGGAGCAATGTATCTTCAACAGGAGTTCACATAGGATGTAGGAAATTCTCCTTCCTGGTAACTTGCCTGCGAAAATCAACTCCATTCGTAAGAACTACTTTCCCTTGTAGATTCTTAGGAGAGAGATCCCTGACGTAGGTTGTCACGTTGATCTCAGCTAAATAATCTCCTCTCTTCCCCATGGGCCCCTAATGGGTCGTACCAGCCTGGGGCTTCAAGATTGTGGAAAATAGAGTCCAGCCATGAATGGTCTGTTCTACTGCTAAGCCACAGATCCATAGGCTGTTGGAGGCCAGGGTGGGGGCATGGGTGAGCATGGACCTCTACTTATCCAACTCCCCAGGGTCCGGACAGGTCATTGACTGGCCCACTGCCCTTGTTGTAGACGATCGGCGGGTAAACACACACTCTCGGAGTCCGGAACTGAATTGATAAAAATTTTAATGGCCAAAGATTTTCCTGTGCAGGGGTGAGCTTCCCCAACTGTGACCGGGGTCACGTAGCTACTCAGAGCTACAAAATGGAAGTTGCGCCTGGCTTACAGACTACTGGGTATTTATATTTTCTAGCAAGCAAGCAAAGGCATACAGAAGCAGAGGTGGCGGTTAGCTATTGGCTTATTTAAAAACGGCGAGGGTCCCTGATTGGTGGGTGCTGCTGCTGGCGAGCACTTTCTGGCGGTCCTGGGTTAGTTACCTTATTTGGCTAGAATTTTAAACCCAATTGTTCCCTGATGTTTGTTCATTACCCTCTTCCAGGAACTGCAGATTTAGGGTTGGGTAATGCCCTAGCTGTAATTTTCCTAGCTGGGTATAACACCCTCAGCCGCTCAGTGGGAAAACTGGGACTAAAACCCAGGTCTGTGGCTTCTGGTGCAATCTATCTCCTGGGCCTAAGAAACAGGAAACGAGGCGGGGGCAGCACATGTACATACATACATTTAGGTGTGTGCGTGCCTTCACACCAGCTTCACACCTGACCGTGCACACCAGCTGTGCTGTTCCTGCCCTCCAGTGTTGCCTGCGTCACACCACACGATTGCTTTCGTCTGGGGCCAGATCCCCCCCCACATTGCAAGGCCCCCCTTTCTCTCCAGGTCTGCAAGTGTTCAGGTGGCCAAATCCATGTCCAGATTTTAAAGGAAAAAAGACAGTAGTATATATAACACTGACTTTGACTTTTCTTCCCCCCTGGACCTTATGTAATTAGTACAACAACAAGGACAAGGTAGGTCATTGAAGCTGAGTTTGCCGAGCTTCTGTTAACTGTTGGAGGAGACGAGGCTCGGAGCAGTGATCCCAGGACTTGGGTACTCAAGGGCACTTGCAGGTGGGTGTCCCAGGTAGCTCAGAGACTTCATGGACATGTGAGAAAGGCCACCTGGTTTGGACCTGTGCTGGAGGAAAGAAGGGAAGGATGAGCTTGGAAATGGTTTTGTCCAGGGCAGGGCAAGTAGCAAGGTCAATATTTCCAGGTCTATTAAGTTTCAAGCAAACCAAGGGCAGGTAGTGAGAGAAGGCGCTGGAGGCCTGCACCCAACTCTCTCTGGGCCGTCCCGAGCATTCCTCGCTTGCCTTGGCTCAGTGGGCACTGGCTCATGAGGGTTCCACACCTTTACCCCCAGTGGCTTCATTGAGAACCCACTGCCTTTGTCGAGGATCACAGTGCATCCCTGGGGTTAGGGTGGAGGCCTCTGAGCGGGTAACCGGTCAGGCTGGGAGCAGCGTCAGAAACCAGGAGCAATTGTGGTTTCTGCTACTGTCCCAGTCAGCTGCCGGGAATAAACAGCCCGAAACAGGATTCCAGATTCAACAAGACACGATTTGAGGGGCTTTTCCAAGCACTGTACTCTATTTTAATCATCCCGACGACCACAGGAGATGGCCCTTATCCCTGATGGCCGACCGGGAAGGAGATTCCAGAGGAGACACTGATCCAAGATGATGATCCTGGGCCGCTGCTCACCTGGGGGCTCCTGCCCTGCCCAGGCTGCCTCTGTGCAGTCAGAGGCCCGAGTGGGGAGGTCAGGGAGACAGGAAGTGCGGTCTGTGCACAGAGAGCCCTGGGCCCCCGTCACGGGTCACGCCTGAGCCAGCCTATTGGCCTGGCCACCCTGAGGGCCGCCCAGGCAGCTGTGAACTGGCCTTGGAGGCCTCAAAGGATTACCTTTGAAGGGCTTTTTCTTGCTCTCTACTTGAGAGAACTAGTCTAGGGAAATAATGAACACTAAAAGTTGATCAGGTAAAACATACACAGGCTCATATAAATTCCATTCTTTATTAAAAATACAGAAATACTGTCCACGGCATGAACAGAAAATACTGCACTGTCTTGGAATCTTAAGATTTAGACATTTTAACAAATTATTCTCAGGCCTGGGATCTACTGTACTAGGGGAAAAAAAACCTGCATCAAAAATTAAAAACCAACACACCAAAATATTAAAACAATTAAGGCCAGTAGTGTGCATTTCATGAAGCTGGACACCTCTGACTGTGGTGTACCTAGCAGTCACTGTTTAAAGGAGTACATTAAAAACAGGCCTCTAAATAATGAAAGAATTGACCCAAAGGGAACAGTTACAAACAATAACAAAAAGGCTTTGAAAAATTAAGAGCACATTTTGATATGGTGTCTTATATATAGTAGTCCATTTGTTAAAACACTGCACATGATAAAAGAAAATGAGCACATCAATTCCTAAAGAACATACTTCACACGGAGCCTACATATTGCAAATGAGAGATTGTAGACGTGCGCAGTAGAAATGCGTGTATGTTCACACACAGATGATGCGTCCGAATAAACCGTCTGTGATGAAGTCCAACGGGAGGATAAACACTTTAATAAACTCTACGTTTTGAGGCACATGAGGAATAAAATTCATGTTGTTTCTAAGTTATGGACACAGCATCTTCTCTCCCCCCAGTTTCTGTACCTTAGTGTAATGCCTATTTGCGTTTAACCTAGTTATCTTATGTTTGCATGCTTTGCAAACGGGATTACAGAACCAAATTGCCTACTATAATTTCCCACATGTGACACAATTACCCAGGAACACTTGGACGGGAGAGGATTGTCCCAGACTAGGGAGCACTGATTACATCATGCTCACAAAGAGCAAAAATGAAGGAGAGGCTCTTCCCCCAGGTGACAAAGTTTATGGTTCTCTCTCTCCCACCGAAATGCTGTTCCCCATTACAATGAGTTCTATTCACTGATTTCTGGTCTGCAAAATTAGATCCATTGCTACTTACAAAAATAACACCCCAAAAACTGAAAACTAGGCCCTAACACTGCACCATTCCCTAAGCGCAGAGCCCCACACTCCCACGGCACTTCTAAACAAAGCGTGGAGTTAAAGTCATGTTCCCGAATTACGTTACATCCATAAAAAGTGAAAGCACAATGGGTTTTCAAGTAGCGAGAACACCAGCAGCACATGCACCGGGTCCGTCGTTCAACTGGCCTTGGACGAGCAAATGATGCGCAACCTTTCACTGGGTGACCCTGGTCTCAGATTCCCAGAGCCATCCACACACACACACACACACACACACACACGCATTCCTTAAAAACCTTTCATTAGAAGCCAGGGGAGACCATCTAGGCAGAGAAAGAAAATGTGGCCAACCCTGTGGTTCTCTCCCCGAGATGAGGAGGCGGCCTATTTGCACCCTGGGTTCCCGGCTCTTCCACGCAGTGCCCACTAAAGACAGAAGATCCTTGGGAAAGGCTGCCGCTGCCCCCTTCCCAGGCGGAGAGAGACCGGCAAGCCTCCTGCCTGGGCGTATCGGGGAGAGAGGTGGAATAAAGAGGTGGAATCATGAGATTAACTAAGGCGGTGGTAAAAGAAGAACCTGAAAGTAAACCCCTTAGCTTCCAAACAAAAGGCAGAACATCTCAATCATCAATCAGCCTTCAACCTCAGAAACTTGGGGAACATGGATTTTCACTTACTGCGATGCCCTCATTATTTAGCAAGAGCCTTGTCAGATGATTGTAGCCTAGCATGGCTCATAACACAGAAACCTTTCGGCTTCACGACACTTCATGATGTTACAGTGGCACTTAATTAACAAAAAGACTCTACTGTTAATGTAAGGAGAAAATAGCAACAGAAGACAATTATGATAGAATGTTTCTATAACACCATTTATTTTGTTTTCTTGTATGTATGGAATAAAAAGTATAATTTATTTGCAAATGCACTTAAAGTATAAAATCTTTATATTAATAAAGTCACTTCTAGGCATTTACGGAAGAGAAACAATCTAATCAACCATGTTTGTAAGATAGGAATATCTGCTATATGAAGTAACTGATACCTCAAAATTTCTGGATGAAAGAAGCTCATTTAAAAAAATCCTCAAGTGATCAAAGATACAGCTGAAAAATGACAGCAAATTCAATATTGTGGTTTATAACACAATGGATAATGAAAGAAATCAAGGTATTCCAAATTCCCTCACACTTGGGCAAAAACATTTTCTGTCCCTGAGACGGAAACAAGTTTGACTTCTAGAAAGACCTTGAGGGGGTGTGATTGTGCTGGATAACGGCCAGGAATAGAGAATCCTCTTTCCAAAAGTTTGCTGCCTTTTTCTCTCCTCTAAACCACATTTTCTTTGGGGAAATACATCATCTCCTCCCCTTGCTCAGTCACAAGACACTTAATACTGCACATTTCTCAGCAGAATTGTGAAGTCTGAGAACAAAACCTTACCCCGGAAATGCTTCTCACATGGTGTCATTGGCCTTCATCTTTGATCCTGGCTGGACCCTGCTCGTGAAGATATGAGGCACTGGCCTGGCCTTGGTCACTGGTGGGTGCAGTCAGTCCTAAGTGGTTTTGGACAAAGCTGCATGTTCTATAAAGAACGGCAGAGCAGCCAGAGTGGCCACTGGATGTGGCCTCCTCCTCCACTCAGGTCACAGGAGGCAGCAGCTGGGAAAAACAGCTCATGCTTCTCAAGAGGCATGTCAGGTTGGCTCCAGGTCACTGGACTCTTGACCTTCAGGGCTAAAGGAGGAGGGACACCTAGTGGGATGGGCATTTGGGCTTGTGCTTGGGGAAGGTTGATGAGGGGTATTAGTGAACTGTCAGGGCGAGTCACAGACGAAGCATTTAAAAGGGAGAAGACTCTTGTTCCCAAACTCAAGGACAGACTGTGAGCACTAGACCTTGAAACTGGAAAGAACAAATGGAGCTTGGGCTGGAAGTCTGACAGAGCCAAGAGAGAAGCTGTGGGCAGGTGACAGCGAGATGGTGGAAGGCAGGCGGGGTCAGGACTGCCAGGCCGGGGAGAGAGGAGGCAGCCGCTACTTCTTTTGTTCTCTTCCTATCTCTTCCCAAAAGGCATCGGAGTTAGGATAACGGAGAAAAACAGAAAAGAGGAACAAAAAAACAGGACGAAAGAAAGAAATGGAAAGTAAAAAATAATGAGAAGAGCTAGCAAGGTGCTGCTTGTATTGCTCGGAGGAGGAGTTGCAGTTGCGGGCCTGCGCGAGGAGAGGGCGAAACGTCTGGTGAGGTCAGACAGGAGGAGGAGCAGAACCCAGAAGTCATGAAACAGAGGAGCAGTTTCGTGGCCTTTGCTGAAAGCAACTGAGCTGGAAATGCCTTTAAGCGTCATCTGGATGCCCCTCGTTTTCCTGGTGAGGAGATGGGCGTCTGGTAACTTAGAGGGCTTGCTTCTTTTGCACTGCACCACAATCCGCCCTTACCATGTAGTGAGGGACCCGTGGGAGATGGGGTGCAGGGGGTCGTACAAGGAGGTGAGCTCTCCAGATGCCCTTCAAGGGCTCCTCCTCCCAATTCCCCTGGGATTCTAGAATTCTAGGTATGAGGGCTACCTCTGGGTATTTCAAACATCACAGTATCCTCCGCTTACCATGCCTAAGGATACAGAATGAGATTACTTCAAAACGGACTCAGTTAATGTTACGTATCCAGACGATACTGTCCTTCAAAGTAGTCCATACATTGCAGCTCTTTATAATGATATCTGCCTCAGAGATTTAAATCAACAAATTAATTGCAGCTGTCGTTGCTCAAACCATTTGAACCGAGTAAGGAAACACACGAGGAAAAGACCAGCAAATGAGTATGGAGACACACCACTTACACCTGTGTTGTCCTCCAGACGCCGCCCAGTGGCCCATACCTGCTCCAAAGAGAAAAAACGCACCCTCACATGAGCACAAGGGATTCCAACAGCCCTCAGAAAAGAATGTGTCCTCGCTTCTAAAGATGACCCCGAAAGACCTGCACCAAAAATATTCGGAGCAATGACCATGTCCTTGGAGCACACCCTCGGGCTTTTAGGATGATTTCTTTGCAGGTAAAACACTCTAAGTTTTGGTGTGCTTATGAAAAAAAAATTGGTCATATGATTCTATGCTCGAAATTTCTATGTAACTATTTAGGGAAAAAACCGAAGCCCCTGATATTTTCAAATCTGCTTTCCAGGGAGGAGCTGAGTAAAGAAAGGGAAAGGACTGGGGACAGTGCTCATCCACCCATCTCCTGTGGGCTGCGCATGCTCCGTCATCCCACCGGGAGCAGGTGTGAGAGAGGGCAGCTTGCGGGGAAGCCCACCTGGGCTGGCCTGCCCTGACCCTCAAAGGGGGACAAGATACCCGAGTGCAGGGTTCACGAAAAGCGCTCTCTGCCCCCCCCCCGGGAACCACGTGTCCTCCTGCAGATAACCAGCTGATGGAAATCGCTCATTTCTGAGAGGCATCATGGGTTGAAAGGAAAAGGAAAAGAAGTTTTGAAATTAAAGCTGTAAACAATCCATCGTTACTCTCTAATGCTTGCAGTAGAGCATTAGGCCAATTGGAACGTGAGATTTTAAGACAAAGAGACAGGAGTGAAATGCCGGTCAGTGACTCTGGAGGTTCGAGAGCCTGGAGAGCCAGGGAAGGTAAGGCCTCGTGCCCCCTCTTGGTCTGTTGGCAATTTCCTTTCAGTAAAGATACTGGGGTTCAAAGAAGGACTAGTGGCTTTTTGGAGAAAATATGCAAACTGGTCAAGCATTTGTTTAATCAGTCAGCCAGTGAATATTAATGAGATGCCTTTTATATGGCAGGTGTTAGCCAAGGTGCTGGGCAGTATCTACTTGTTCCAAGTACCAAGATTTTAGTATTTTCATAGAGACTCTGCTCCAGAAATTGATCTAAGTAAGCTACATATACTACACACTTGGTGTACTTTGGGGTCTGATTTCTAGGTAGTTCTTCTGAATAAAACAGAATGTTCTGGAAAGCAAAACCTCCTTTTGCAACCCCTTCCGAACCTTCCCCAGTTCCCACTCCTTGCTGCATTCACTCTGGTTTGTGCTCAGTCACACACACACACACACAAGCACGACATCTAACTTGGGCCCGGGGGTCATCGACTGTGTAACTTTCATAAATTCACAAAAGACCATGTTTACTCGCCTAGCATCACTCATAACCTGCTATTGTCTAAACTAAACTTCCTCCCATCATGATCTCACCAGTGAGTACAATGAAGAGACAGGGCTCCAGCGGGTCACGGCACCTTGTTCACACAGTTTAACAACTGGAAGGCGCACGGCCTTAGACATTCACTCACGTAAACTGATGTAACTTGATCACACGTGTATGTGAACACAGCCAGATTTACAACTGCACTGAAAATTCTCCAGGCCACCCTTTTTGTGTGTGTACAAGGCCACCAAACATCTGCTAGTGGCCACATTTGTATCGAGTGTCTGCTCCTCCGCCCTAATGCAGCAGAGCTGGGATCTACTTCCCAGTGTCGGTTTGTATTGTAGGTGTGGTTGCTGCCCGGACAAGCTCTGTTAAAAAGAGAAAGATTGCAGAGTTGGCTTCATCTCAAACGTCTGTGTCTGATTCACAGACATCTGTGTCTCCCTGAGAAAAAACTTTTTCACAACCAGAGCTGTCCAACAAAGAAATAAACCACTTCCTCTGGGAGTGAATGCCTCCTGGTGGGACGTGGTCAGGCCGAGCCACTTCTCAGGGCTGTGGGAAGGCATCCGGCACCTCGATGGGGAGGCAGAGCCTTCCCGAGACGGGAGGAGGCTACACAGATGATGGAGGTGCCTACCGGTCACACACTCTTGCTGTGAAACGACACCCAGGGAGGGTCTTCGATTTCGTAGAGGGGTGTTGGAGAAGCAAGGCTTTGGCTGTGTTTCAGAGTAGGCTCCAACTAAAGACTCGTGTTGGTCTTTTCAGTAAGCCCCTAGGACATGGGACCACCTCTAAGGCTCAGGTCACAGGGTCAAACTACAGAGCAGAACATGGTGGGCTGGCAGCACAGAGCAAGTCAGTGTATATTTAGACCCTGTGGGCAGAAAGATGCTTTGTCCCCACACAGTCTGACATCATTATATAATCAGCTACCAAGCCAGTTCCTGGCTCTTGAGCGTGTCTCCGCTCATCTCGAGCCCCATCCTCTCAACGGGGACGCTGGTACAGCACGCTGACCTGGAGGAAGGTGTCTTCTTTCAGCTCCGTGTGCTGCCTTTTCCTTTGGAGAGAAATCAAATTCAATGCTAAGTGTGAGGGGAACCCCCGGGCTCTTTCTGTAGTACTTTAAGATCCAGGGCCTTGCTTGGGAAAGCAGAGAGTGAAGAGAAGCAAATCCTCCTGTAAAAATGTGCTTTTGCGACTCGGGAATTGTCTGAAGCCTGGGAGAGCCGGTGTGAGCTTTCTTCTCAAGTACAGCATTTTGGTGAAGTCCATGTGTGATCATACCACTGTAACCACACAGGAATTTACCACAGGAAGTGTCCCAGCTGTTGCCTATTAGCATTAGAACAAATTACACAAAGCAAATTGTTAGCAGACATGTTTCCGTCATATTGAACTGGTGGTGATAAATAAGAGTGATTTTCTTTCAAATAAATGCTACGTTTCCAAAAATCCAGCATCCAATCGCCAGTGAAGGAATCATCTTTGATGAGGAGAGAGGACACCCTGGAGGCTGAGGTCCCGGTGCTCTGGCTCAGGTGCCAGGTGTTGCGTGTGGAAGCGGGGCGTTGCTGCCAGACTGACATCACTGCCTCTACCTGTCTGACCACCCTCTGGATCCACCTCCGTGCCTCTCAGCACGGTCCCCTCCTGCTGCAGGGAGCACACACAGGGCAGGACAACCCTGTGCAGGTCTTGCAGTGTGTTTATGACAAAAAAATAAACCAAACCCACAGACAGGTTTTCACTCTTCTCCTTAACAAAATGTTGCCTTTTAAAAAATGTTCTACTCCAGCACAATCCCATGTCTTGCTATCTGAGATTTTTTAAAAAAGGGTCAAATTTCCTTCTCATCTAACTCGGTTGCGAAGAATTGGAAAAGCGCCTCGGAGCCCGTCTTCGGCCCCCACACAGGAAGGCCTGGCTGTGTCTTCAGAAGGAAGGCGAGACAGCTTCATTGCTCAAGACCTTCTGACGGTGCCTACATTCAAGTCCATAGCCACCTCTGGGCATTTCCAATTGTCTTCAGAGATATGACAAAATTCTCCTAAAACAATTTCAAAAATTAATTTTAAAATGATGTTCATTTTTTAAAAGTAAGAAATATTTCATACAGGATGTAAATATAAAAATAGGTTATTGCAGCTTAAAGGGTTGGGACTGTTAGAAGAGGAGCTCTTTTCCTAAGAAATTTATAGTTTTGTCTTCCCTCCCTCACTGATTTCCTTCCCAAGCAAACCAACCTGAGCCAGGAACTCCTTTGCAATGGATTTCAGTGTCATAGTAGGTTCTCCTGAGGAACTTTTCATTCCTTTTACCTACTGAAAGGAAAAAAGGTCAGCACCCCTGCTGACGGGAAACAATAGGAGCCCAGTGTATCCACTGGCGGGCAGTGAACAGGTGTGAAGACAGGGGCTCCCTGCACGCAGGTCTCCCTGGCTGGGCCTCTCCCCTCAGTCACTGCGGGCCTGTCTTCCCCTGAGTTGGGTCGACCCAGAAGCCCCCAGCTGCCTCCAGAGCGCACCCTGCTGGCGTTAGAGGGTATACCTAGTAGGAACAGCCTGGAGCAGGTTCTGTCTCTGTGCTACAAAGCTGGGGAGGCATATTTAAAGAACCAAGCAAATATAATAGCTGATATACTCCCAGCCACTTCCTAAGGCTCTTCAACTACAGTGTCAGGAAACACACACACACACTGCCCACATCTTTTACCTGAAGTCTTCACCAAAGGAATAATGTGCTTCAGAAAATATTTAAAACTTACTAGGCAATAGAATTGTCTCTAGATTTTTTGAGTGTTTAACAGAAAAGTATAATTGAAAAGGTTTGGAACATGAACACACACACACACACACACACACACACACTCTATCTCTGTTTTGGAATTACACAAAACAAATAGCATTATCCGTCACAATGCGAAGCGAAGCTACCACAGTGGAATGACGTCTCCCCTAACTGTACACGTGGGAGGCCCCCGAATCAGCTCACGTTTAGGCAGGAGCGACACACATGGCCTGGCTCTCAGAAGGCTGTTGAGAGGAAATGGCCTGGCAAGTTTTGCATTTGCTAAGCTCCTTAGCTGCCTGGTTTGACAAGATTTTTGAAAGGGGTGAAAATTCATTATCGTTGCAGTATTGCTACAATAATTTGGTTGGCTAATTGCATTCCAGTGCAAAGCAGGCAAGAAAGTATTTCCTCCCTGGGCTACGGTCCAATACAGCAGCATTTGTTTTAAGAGTCAAAAGATTTTTGAAAAGTCAAGCCTTAAATATCGTGGCTTCGGCAATCTGTCCCACCTAAAGTGTAATGCGAAGTGAGAGGGCACCTCCGTGAGAGCAGTCACACATGAACAAGGTCCAGTTTTCTCCGAGATGGAGAGAGAGAGATGGAACATCTCTCTCCCCTGAAACCTACTCAACGTGTCTCTTTGACATTGTTTGGGGGCGATTTTAATTTGGGGACGTGATGTTCGTGTTTGTGTAACGAGGGAGGTGCTCCTGTGAGGGTGGGTAGGCAACTCTGAAAGTCTCTAAATGAGGTATGTGTTGGCGGAAGAGGCACCATGAGTTTCAGAGGGTCAAACAGAAAGAGAGGGGTGAGAAACAGGGGTTGTCGAGGGGTATCCAGACCTCACACAGCGTGGTTTGAAGCATTTCTACGGTCGTCATCTAAGTCCTAACTTCTCTATAGAGGACCAACCTGCACATCCACCCAGGGCCGCCCTCGTTTGCAGAGGCCATGCCCTGTACACGGGCACCTGGTGATGGGCACTAGGGGGCTGCAACCCCACCCTGGTCCACTCTCCAGCTGAGACCCTGGCGCAGACTGCATCCCAGAGGTAGCGGTGCCTTTTCTAATTTGCGTTTGGGCCAAGAAAAGCGCTGAGCTTCTTTTTGTTGCTCACTCTCCAGATGGCAAAGTCTGGTCTTTATCTCCTCACTGCCAGCACCACAGATGTTTAAGGAAGAGAATAAGCCCATGACATAGGTGAATTCATTTGGAAGGTGTGTTTTCTGTTCAGTGACAGAGGAAGAAAAAAAAGAGAGAGGGAAAGAGAGGAAGGAGAGGGATAAAAGGAAGAATGAAGACGAAGTTGTTTGTCTGCCTAGGAAATTGTGGACGTATTGTCCTTCCCTGGACACAGCTGCAAAGGGGTAGAGAATCTTTTTTTCCTATTAGTTCATGGTGAGGAAGGAAAACCTACTTGTACATTTAATTAAACCCCAAAACAGCACGTCTGTGTATTTGTTGAGGACTAGAAAAATTAACCATACGTACAACTACATAATCCAGCAAAGATCTAGAAATCAACACTTTCCCATTTCGAAGCTTAGTTGAGACATTTTTCTTCTTTTTAAAGAAACACCCATGGCTAAATGTCACTAAGCCTCTGCAGCATGCCAACACACTGACACCTCAGCGAGGATTCTGGGAAGGAAGAAACTCCAAAGCCCCATCTGGGGAGACTGTACTTCCCAATTTTTGCCTTTGCTGCTTGTACATCTCAGTCAGTAATGAGGATTGGATATGAACTAGAACCTTCTAGGAGACAATTTCTCTCCAGTTACCTTTGGGAGGTAAGTGGGTCTTCCCCAGTTACAATCTGTGGTGCTGACCTTGAAATAAACTCCCGACGTCTGTGTGGGCTAGATGTTGTTCACAGAAACCCTAGCCCATCTATCCAGTCCTGAATCCTCAGGCTACAGCAGTGAGAGACCTAGAATTTCATTAGCAGTCTGCCCTCTAGTGGGATAACACAGTACTTCAGATAACTAGGAATAGAAAAGATTTTTTTTTTCCTTCTCTTTCAGAGAGCAAAAGAATTCAAGTTTTCCAGATAGTGCAAGGTGAGGCGTTTATCCTTAGAAGACAGCTTCAAGAGCTGAATCAGGCAAGGCTCACAATGAGAGGTCTGTGGGTCCAAGTCAAAGACAGGGGGCGCTGTGGTGGGCATCCCCGCCAGGCCTGCGGAGACACAGGTTCTGCTCACATCCTTGGAACCCCCCAGGGTTCTTCTCCTTGGGTGAGAGCACTCGGTTCCCCATCTTCCTTTGTAAGAATAGGACCCACTCTTACGGCAACCAGCCTATCAGGAATGTTACAAATAATAGGAATTGTTGTCATTTTTTGGCAAACCATTAACACCAAGGAGCCTTTCAAAAGGACCAGGCTGAATATTTGAAAAGGCAGAGGTGCACGAGTTTTGTAAAAAGACTACGTCTCTGGGGCTGTTGTTTGTAAGACGAGGACCTATTTTGTGATGGTGGCGGGATGTTGGTAAGGCAGAAGATAATCTTGAGATGCGCTGTCTGGATTTGGCTTCCGTCTTTTAAAAACCTTCAGAACTTGGCCTGCTTCAGTCTGTCGATATGGTGGCAGAGCTTCAGCGCAGGCCCCAGCTTCAGGCCCAAGTACTTCATAACCATGTCACTCTTCAGCAGCAAGAGGGCATTGCCGTCAATCTCCTGGTGAGACAGGGTCAGAACAAAGGGAAAGCAGAAGATGGTCAGAGAAATTAAACCGTGGCTGCAGCTCAGGGGTGGCCGGGGGTGAGGGAAGGGAATATGGATCTCCTTGGGTGCACATTCTCTTAGCCCCAAGACCAGACCTTCTTCAGAAGATAAAGCAAAAATACTGCGTGCTCCTCTTCTCATCAAATCCTTGGGGTACTTTAACACACTGGGCCTTTCATGTTCCCGCTTTATCCTGGTTGAAGGACTCAAGCATATTCCCACATGGTCCTAATACCCCACATATGATGTTCATCTCCCCATCGAAACCAGGGCTAAATGAGCAAGATGCGTGTGATGGACGGAATATACGCCCCTCCCCCATTCATGTGTTGAAATTCTAACCCCCAATAGGCGGAGACTTTGGAGGGTAATTAGGCCATGATGGTCCACCCTTGTGACTGGGAGTAGTGTCCTTGAACAAGAAGATGGTGATCTGCAGCCTGGAAGAGGGCTCTCACCAGAAGCAGACCAGTCTGATGGGCTTCCAGCCTCCAGAACTGAGAAGTGAGTTGGTATGGTTCAGAAGCCAGCCGGTCTGTGGTACACTGTTCTAACGGCCTGAACTTAGACGAAGGGTCATCCATCGGACCCTGAAACTAATGGTTCCCTTTCTGTTCCGGGTGCTGGTGTAAGGGCCTGGCTTCCATCCATCACCCCAATCTCTTGTCTCTAAGCTGACCTGCTTTTAGCTGATTACTAGATTGCTAATTACACTCTGTGAGGGAGTTCAGGTGTCTTTGGCCCTGTCAGGAATGCTGGGTGGCAGACAGTTAGACGATGCCCATACTGAACCCCAGGGTTTAGCACAGAGAACTACTAAAGGAATGCCAGTCCTGTGAGGTCCCTGCATTGCTCCCATTCGTCCTGTTGAACTCAGGGACCTGGTAGGGCTGGGCTTCCTCACTAACCTAGTGTTATTTTCAGGTCACTGAAGATGGACATTTTGGGTTGCGGTTCCCTCTCATTGCCCTCACCAGCCCTCCAGTTACTGATGAGGTGCTGACTTTGTCACACTCTCCGTGTCCTCGGCAAAGTGTCAGAGTGCACAGATCTCATCTGCGAGCCCTCCCAGAGGCCTCGTTGCCTGATATTTCCCTTTACCCCACCCCCTAGACGGTCACTGTGTCTGTCACTCTGGAAGACACACAGCCAGGCTCCTCCCACCCAGCGCCTTCTAAACGTAACCCACCCTGCATCTTTGCTCTCATGGCCCCACTGTTAGGTGAGGTCAAACACATCCCTAATAAAATGTGAGTGTTGTGTTAGATATGACCATCCCCAGATCTGAGAGTATTATTTCTACGATACAATCACCAAATAAAATGAGAGACAGGCAGGAAAAAATTAACAGTAACTGCAGCAGGCAGAGGAATGTTCCCTTTCCTTTCTACCCCAAGGTGTCTATACCCTAATCCCTGAAACCTGTGAATCTGTTAGGTCACCTGGCAAAGGAAACTGTGTTTGCAGGTGGAATTAAGGCCGCCAGTCACTGCCTTCATCACAGGGAGAACGCTTGGATGACTGGGGTAGAGGCGGCTATGCGACCCCAGGGACCGTGGGAGGAGGAACCACAGAGTCAGTGGCCAGAGAAGGACCCTGCTCACGGCTGTGGCTCTGAGGATGAGGGTGAGGGGGTCTGAACCAGGAAATGAGGGTGGGTCTAGATGCTGGAAAAGACGAGAAAACGGGTTCTCCCAAAAGTCTCTGGAAAGAATGGTCAGCCCGGCCGGCACCCTCAGACCATGAGACTGGTCAGACTTCCGACCCACCGCGCTGTAAATTAACGAAGTTGCGTTGTTTGGGGTCGGGGGAGGCAGAAGAGGGTAAAGGGGGTCAAATATATGGTAACAAAAGGAGACTTGACTTCGGGAGGTGAACACACAATGCAGTATACAGATGATGCGTATAGAATTATACAGTTGAAACTTATTTAATCTTATTAACCAGTGTCATCCCAGTGAATTTAACTTAAAAAATTTTAATGTGTTGTTTTAAGCTGCTACATTTGTGGTAACTCATTATAGCAGAAGTGGAAAACTGACATAGTAAACTTGGCAGGTAATGTATTAATTCTTACTTTTTCTTTTTTCATTTACCATTGTTATGTATTTCAGAATCTCCTAGACAACGATGAGAATGGCTGGTTACCGGAGGCTCTCTCAAGCCAGGCACCACGCTTACACTCTGCGTGTGCACCTTATTTAATCCACAAACAGTCTGGGACTAGACCCCAATACAGTTCTCCTGACATGTCGTAGATGGGCTATAAATATTTGGTGAATGCGCAGATGGACGGATGGATGGGCAGGAAGACAAGCACTCCTGTTAAAGGCCCAAACGATGGAACAGATGGGATTCATAGCCCTTAGAACAAACTAAGTGCTTGCTGTGCTCTGAGAAGCCTGTGGTTCCAACTGGCCTCCCTGAGTGTCCCCCGGGGCTTGGTTCGGCACCTCCTCCCCAGCCCTAAGTTCCTGAACCTCACCCTTCTCCCGTGCCTGCCCCCCCCCCGCCAGGCCCACCGCACACATACGTGCTTTCTGAAGAGCTCCACGTGAGGCCCCAGGGCCTGCGGGTCAGCGTCTTTCACAAACCAGACCACATCCTCCACGGTCCAGGTGGACGGGTTCCTGCTCCGCGGCCGCCTGATGTCCTGCCCGTCTGGAGAAGGGCTCGAGGCTGGATGGGTGAGCAAGGGGAGCGAGACCATTAGACACCTGGACCAGGGCCTCACTACTCCCTGTGCTGCCTGCTCCCACCCGGCCCTGGAGTCCAAGGTGGTGGCCCAAGTGACCTCCTTTGAGGGAGAAAGGCTGTACGTGTCTGCACACTAGTTGTGACCCAGGGTTCCTCTAGCTCCCCTTCTCTACCTTTAGCTGGTGCTTGTGTGTCTATGAGACATTCACCCTCCCTCCTTCCCACAGAAGTTCCACCTGCCCCCAGAGCCCAGGGAGACCCCTTCCTGGGCAGCAGTCCTGCGTCAGCCATCTGAATGTCACCTCCCTTCACCTTTAACCCCGACTCTTTGTTTGTTCTCCTCTTAAGACGCTCTCCAGTCTGCCTTGCATCACCACTACCGTATCCTTGTCTGTAACGTCCAGTTAGGTTTTAATCTCTTGAGGACGATCTCTTTCATCTTTCCCCATTCACGCCACAAACATCAACTGAGCATCCCTTCTGTGCTGCCCTGGGCAAAGTGGTGAACACACTATCCACTCGTTGTAGGATCTATCATCTTTGGCTCCTCCATGGCTCTAAGCACATATAGTTGTAAAAACCGGGTTATTCCATGTAAAATGATTCAGTGTACTTTGTAGAACAAGTATAAATAACTTATACAAGAGGCTGTGTGGGTAATACTTAATCCTACTTGCAGGCCAGAGAAGAAGTGTAGGCCTGAACAATGAAGCTGCTTTCCTGCTGAATAACGCTCTCCTGGAAGTGGAGAAGGCTTCGAGTGCCTGCGGCCCTTCTCAGTCTCTGGTGTAGTGGTTTCCCACTGTCTCTTCCTCCTTCCTCTCTGTAAAGGTGCTTGAGAAGGGCAGGGTTCTCCATCAGTGCTGAGAAAAGCACAGCATCACATTTCCGAGTTTGTCCTCAACACATACGGTTTGGTTGAGAATTGGATTTACTTCGAGATTTCCCCTGCCCTTCCCTGTTGGACCTGGAAGGGGGTCCCACAGGTGGCCTAGCACCGAAGTTTTGCCGGGAAAGTGTTAACGCCCCCTGGATGTGTGCTGATGTGTATGTATCAGAGATGATACCACTGCCTTTAAAGACACCTGCACTCAACATGGGGTCGCCGAAGTGGCATTTGCCTCTGGATCCCACCCCGTCAGAGCTCTGGCATTAATCAGGGTGATAATAGATGCTCTGATTACAAAGGCTGGAAGTCTACAGTGCCAAGAATGATTTCAGCAGGATCAGAGCCAAGGTCAAATCTAAATTCCTGTACTTGACAGAAAGGAAAGATACCAAACCGATTCACAGCCTCATCCACGGGAGCCCAAGTTCCCCTGAGCAAGGTCAGGGCGCGGGGGCTTGAGCAAGGGTTAGCGTGTTGTCTTTACAGAGGAGGTGCTCGGGTGATGGCCGTGGAACGAAAGTGGCTCCCTCCCCGGGGCCTGGTGCCCTCTGTGGGCATTTTTCATTTGTCCAGGCTGGAAGGGCAGCAGGCAGGCCCAGATGAGGCACCTTCCTGGTGGGCCTTGTAGTCATACAAGACAGAGAGCAGCAGGAAGCCCATCACACCTCGGGAGTTGCTCAAGTTCCAAAGCATGTGCACTGGCTCTCGAAGGAGGAGGAATGGAACTGCCCAGGGGCAGGTTTGCAAGGCCTCTGCAGTGGTCTCAGCTCACAGAGACAATAAATACACCAGTGGCCCCCCAACCCAGCTGCTGTGAGGTGTCAGGAAGACAGATGGGTACAGCCTGTCACGGCCAGGCCAGGCAGATATGATTGGATGTTGGTAAGATGTGACGGATATGAAGAGATCTTGCTCCTCAAAGAACAGAGCATGCAAACGCTCACCCAGTGAGTTTAAGAAGGCAGCACTCTCTGGTGCAGAGCACTTTGTGTGTGGTCGTGTCCACTTACTGGGGGCTGCCCAAGACATGTGCAAAGTGAGATCCAGTTATGAATGGATGTGAGATTGAAGATGGTTGATGTCATTTCTAAAGCTCAACTCGCATCCCCCAGGAGCAGAGCGACTACGAATCCAGGTTTAAAGCAGTCCCCAACTTCTTCGCAGCACGGCACCTGGGCCGCCGTCTCTGGGTCTCTCTCGGTCTCACACATCCCCACGAGCACATGCATGATTTCCTTCTGTGCATTCAAAGTGCAGAGAAAACTTTTTAGCTAATGGCAGAGTCACAAGAAGAATGGGGTGAGCAGGGAGCCAGGAGTCAGAAATCCCTGCCCCCACCAGCCGTGTGAGTGCCCTTGTACTTCTCACACCTCTGAGGGCTCCATCGTGTCCTGTGCAAATCCATGGAATGAAGAGTCATCGGCCAGGCTTCTGGTCCCTGTCCTGGCCCTGACCATTCTCCGGGGGCCTTATTTCTTCAACTGGTTCCTCAAGAGTATTGTAAGAATCACGTGAATGTGTACAATAGCTTCGGGCTGAAGACCGACAAGAGGCATCTGAAGAAGAGCCAGTCAGTGTCTGAAAGGGGCCCCTTGGTGCCCCTCCTTGGGCTGCCTGTGAGCCTCCTCAGCCTCCTCAGACTCTCTGGGCAGCGGAGCTGGTTTGGGAGGATTCAGGGGTGAAGGCAGTGGGGAGGGTACACCTGTTCTCAGCTCGTCCTGATTATCTGGTCGCCATAGAGCGTGCCCTTCCTAGAAACAAGTCCACTCAGACTGCAGAAGGCGCCCGAGTCAGTCCACAATCTGGGCAACATCAGGCAGTTTGAAACAGTGTTGTTTTTCACTATTTCTATTATAATAATTTTAATTTTAAAAGATTTTCATCGGGTATTTCTTTTATTTCTTCAAGACCAGCTGACTTGCTTGTATGAGAAGAGAGAACACTTCTAGGGACAAGGAGAAACCACAGGCTAAAAGTGAGGGCCGGATTCCTTCTCTGCCACCACAGACACTGTGACCTCTGGGCAAGCAATTTGATCTCCGCCAGGAAGCCTCCAGCCACCCCTCCTCCCCTCGGCCCCTCCCAGGCCAGCTCCCTCCCCGTGCAGCTGGCTCCACTGTCCTGCTCTTCCCTGCTCTGGGAAGCCTTTCCTGACTCCCACAGTAGGCTCAGCGACCCCTCCCAGTCTGATTCTGGCATAGCGTCCATCCTTTTCTGTAGGAGCAATAGTCCTGGTCATAATGAAATGTGTGCACTTGTTAATGTTTGTCTCTCTGGAACAGGGTGCATGTCTATCATGCACGCAGCTCCATCCTCGGACCTGAAAAGATCCTCTGGCACATTGTGCTCAGTAAGTAGCCTCTGGCCAGGACCAACCAGAGTCATAGTTCTCACAACTCTCCTTCTCCTAAAGGAAGAAGAGACCTCTCCATACCTTCAGATATTCTGCCTGCATCGCACACAGTGCTGTCCCCTTCTTCTTCTGCCTGAATCGTCTCTATCCATCACCCAGTGCCATACCCCATGGAAGCAAACTCCAGCCCACGGGAAGCATCCAGGAGGTAATAACAGTGGCAGATTTACTTTGTTTCTTGATTCTGAAGCTTGGACCCAGTTGTGTTCGGGAATTCTACAGCATGTCCTATTAAAAGCAAGAGTCAGGATGCTTTTGTTATCTGAAACCTCTTTATAGCGCTTAGTGATTATGTCTTGGATGAGAGACAGGAGAGAGCTCTCGAATCTTCACCAGAGTATCAGCAAAATAAAACAGGGCAATATGTCCTGTGAGTGCACTCCTTCCGAGGCCGCCGGCAGAGGAGATAGCTGTGATATATCAAGACAGCAGGAGGCCAGGCCAAGTATTCGAGTTTGTCATGTCGTCGATATCTGCTCTTCTGCCTGCAGCCTCATGCTATTTTCTGGCTTCTGTGGTTTTAATCCATTTTGATTAGCACCATGGGGGAAAATCCATTTCTAGGTTCCTTCCAGGCTTTATGATGTGGGTCAAACCCTCTTAAAGAGGTATGGTTCCCTAGTACCCATGGCTTTCACTTGGGATGCAATTTCAGGGCAATGCTGAGCAGCTCCTTGGGCAGAGGGAAAATGTAATAGCTCTCCAGAGGGCCCGCGGCAGGCAGCTAGGTGACAAACGGGTGAGGGGGCCAATGTCTTTTTCCCCCTACGTTAGCACACTGCCACTCCACTCAGCACGGTTTATTTCCACAGTTTCCACATGTGTTTAGCTGTGCAAGTTCTGTTCAAGCAAAGCACACATAGAACTCCATTCTGCAAATGCAGAGAGGCCCTGCCTGGGCAATGAGGGCAGGGTGTTGGAGTCCTGTCTGCTACATCCCCTCTTCTCTATCCTCTAGACCTCCAAGGGTCAGGTGCTCAGTAAATACCTATTTAGGATTTGCATATGCCTTGAACAAGCAGGCCTCTTTTCTGGGGCTGCAGAGGATACAAATATGAGCAAAAATCCCACAAAGCTGAGAGTCTTGTTCCTGCCATGGGGCTGGAGAGAGGAAGTGCTGGAGTTGAGGAAACAAAGTGTCAGGGGAGGAAGCAGAAGAGAACGAACATGTCTGATTGTGAGGTGTGGCCAAGACGGCCAGTGGCCCACCCAGCGTCTTTCTTCCCCTTCTTCCTTTGTAATAGAATCCTGGATTTCCAGTGGGACCGTGGTTACTAAGAATTAAGTAACTAAGAATTTACCAGCTTCCCTTGCAGCCTGTGGCCACGTGACTAAATTCCGGCCAATGAGATGTAAGCAGAGTAGGGAAACCTCTTTCAGAGATGCCAGCACTGCCCTCTGTCCACTTACTCTCCCCACCCCCTTCCTTCATCTCCATGCTGAGAATGTATGTGGATAGCTGGCTCTTTCTAGGATCTGTGGTTCCGTATAGCACCCCAAAGATGGCACCGCTTAAGAGGAATCTTTGGAGCATTAAAAAGTTAGTGCACCTACAACGGGCAAATCATCTCACTTTTCTTCAGTGCTTCACAAAGGCTCAACAATGCATTTCAACTGTTGCGTCCTGCAGTAGCTGTACTCTACAGAAGCTGGGTGGCTGTGTGATTCTGAACATCCTATAAGCCCTACAGGGTCCTGCTGACTGTGAACAACTCTAATTTTCAGGGTATCAGGCCAGGTTCTCACTAATATTTCTAGGTTGTAAAAGAGACCATCGACATTCAGGATATAGTTACTGGTTTGCTCGGAGTGGACGGCAGCAGGTGCTGGAGGCCTCCGTTCCTCTGATCTCACCCAAGATCCTGAGACACACAAGTCCTGAGCTAGTGGGCTCTCCCGGGGGTGTGACTAGGGCTCTGACAGAGAGGGCCATCTCAGAGCTGGCTGCGAGGGAGGGTCTGGGCCTCCCCTCTGGTGGATTACTCAGACAGCTGATCTGGGTTTAATTCCTGGAGAATGAAGGGCTGGGGTAGAGATTAAAAAAAAAGGCCAAGAGGGTGGCTGAAACTGTGATGGGAGGACATCCCAGGGCTCCACTGAAGGAGGCAGCAAGGGACTTGGGGAGCTCCCTTGAGAACTCTTTGGCAGGTCCTGGAGTCCCCTCATTCAGGGAGACCAGATGGACTGAGATGGGGCAGACAATTCTACAGTAAGTGATGGTTCACTTCATCCAAATCGTGTCTTCCTCCTATTGCTTGAAATACTATACTTAAGACATAGGGAGGGCCTGAGATTTTACCAATTTGAATGGTGGAGACAGTAAACATCTCCTTTTTAAAAAGACACCACACTCTTAGGATGATAAGTCAATTCATTCAGGGCAATGTCCTGTGATCATCACCCTGAGCAAATGGGAACTGGGTTGCGGAGAAGGGGTTGAGAGAAAGAGACATGTACGGGGAGGAGAGACACCAGGATGTGACAACCAGAGACAACAGGACAGTACAGGACACTGTGATGACCAAGGGCAGGGGGCAGGCACAGAGATAATGAATGTTTATTGAGCACCTACTGTATGTATGCCAGATGTCACCTCTCACTCTGGGGATAAACCTGGGAAATAAATGCTGCATCCTCATGTACTTTAAGACTTGGGTTTGTGCCAGATCTTATTCCCTTTTCCTGTTCTTAGAGATCCGATGAACAGTAGCTCTCCCTTTTGAAAAGTTCACTCTGCCTACTCATATCTTCTGCCCGGCCGATGGCCCTGTGTGACAGCATTGGGGACTGGTCTACAGGGTGCCCTCCACTTGGTAACAGCCCCCCCCCCCAGCTGAAGGAGCCTATGCTGTGCCCCTCAGCACTGCCTCCCCTTCAAGGGGCCCCTGCTTCCCTCTCATCCTCAGCCAGCAGCGGCTCATCCGGGATGGGTGAGGCTCTTGGAGGGGAGTGCGTGGAGGACCTTGGGTCATACAAAGCAGCTAAATGCTGTGGCTTCTCAGGGCTGCTTCTGGAGAGATGAGAGGCTCAGGGCAGAAACATGGCTGGCCCAAGAGGACAGCTGACTCACTGGGAGGCTCTGGAGGGGACAGATGAAGACTCTCTGCCTCCTTGGCCTGGCCTTCTTTCTGCAGCAGTTCCCAGTGGCTGAGTTTGTGAGCTGTGCTCTGCTCAGGGGTGTGTTCACATGATCTGTGACTACTAGAATTTATTGAGCTCTTACTTTGTCCTAGACTTTGTACTAAATATACATAAGAACTTATTTAGTCATCCCAACAAACCTATGGGGTGGGTGCTATTATTATTATTATTCCAATTTTTCCGGTGAGGAAACTGAGGCATGGAGAAACTCAGACTTGCAAAAGGTCTACCAGGAAGTGGCAGACCCAGGGCTCCAGCCCGGGTCACCTGGCTCCACAGCCCACGTGATTATCTCTATGCTGTATAGCCTCTACTCATTAACAAAATACTGAAGCCTAAAAATAGTTTTTAAAAAATCAGGAAGGACGCGGAGCTATCCCTGCAATGACACCACTTTCACACACTAAGCCCCAATGAGCGCTCTACAGTGGGTGAGACAGAAGTGGCGCCGCAACCAGTACTGTGCCAATTTTGCTCGACTCTGCTTCTGCCCACGGGTTTGCATCCTGCAATATTGCCCACTATGCAGGAGAAAACTCTTTACTAACAACTGCTTCTTTTTGTTCCTGGCACAGAGCTAGTCTATGCCTCTCAGACCCCCTTAGAGTGAAGTGTGGCAAAATGGCCTGCTCTTGCCAAGACATGGGTGGAAGGATTTGACCACTTCCGGGCTCTAGGGAAGTATGTGTGCCTCTCCACTCACTCTTTCCCTTTCCACCCACTAGGTGCTTGGGGCATGGAAGTCTGGGGGGTGAGCAGAACTGCAAAAGGAGCAGAGTCTGTGTTCCTGAGCTGGAATGCACTCACAGACTAGGAACAGCCACTTTGGTCTCTCTTTTTCATTCTCCTTTAAATCCTCACCTGAGAATATGTTTATTGATTTTAGAGAGAGAGGAAGAGAAAGAGAGAGAGAAGCATCAATGTGAGAGAGATACATCCATCAGTCACCTCCTGTATACGCCCTGACAGGAGATTAAACCCACAACCTTCTGGTGCATGGGACAACACTCCTACCTACTGAGCCACCTGGCCAGGGCCCACCTTGGTCTCTTGAACAAAAACAAACTTGTATTGTACTTGAGTCACTGTACGTTTTTGGAATCTACTTACTCCTACAGCCTAGCTTACACGAATACACCATTTTCTTTGCTTATCGTCAAAGGCCGATGTCAGCTGTCTTCAAGAGCAACAATTCATGAGAAGTCTTGTGGAAACTTCTGATTTCCTAGTGTTCCCACGTTCAAAGAGCCTCAGTCCCCTCTTTCCCTCCATGCATTTGCCCCAGGGCATGGGCAGAGGAGGTCAAGTCACAGGGAAGAAGCCAGGGCATGTATTACATTACCACATCTGTTTCCTTCAAGAGAGGTCCCATTTCTCTTGGGGCTGGAGCCTGGGGGCCTCAGCCCAGGCGTTGAGGGGCCTCCAGAGGACATGGAGCTGGTGCGAGGACCACCGGTGGTGGTGGCTGGGCCTCCCCCAAGATGGCTATCTCCAGAGTTCTGCCTCTTGAAGTACAGCGAGGAGGAGGTGGGCAAGGAGCCCCTGTGGCTGAAGGCGGAGGCGGAGGGGTCCACGCCGTAGCGGTTCATGCCTGCTGTTTTCACCAGGCACTCCTCAGTGGTGACTGTTTTTGCTGAGCAAGAAAGCAGAGCAGAGAAGCAGAGATCAGGGAGCTGTTCGAGGGGCCACCAGGTACTCGGTCTTGGCAAACCTTCCCCAGCAGCAGATGCTCTGCTCTCTGTGAGGACAGGAGACGAGGAAGAGTGGACCCCATGGCCTAATCCCAGATAGCCCACCTCTCAGCAGATAGAGACCCCTGCTTCACCACAAAGCATATTTTCATAGGGACTGGGAAATGTGTCCCTTCATGTGAAGAGGAAAAGTCATTATCTTGGTGATTAATGACTTGGAAGTAAAATTTGAGCAAACGTCTTCCCCCCTTCATGTCTCTGCCCCTCTTGCCTCTCCCTATTTGTCCGAATCTCCCTGCACTCTCTTCTCTTACCCACCATCCCTCACCTGGCAATACTGCAGAGAAACTGGAATCCTCATGTATTGCCGGTGGGAATGTAAAATACTGCAGCCTCTTTGGAAAACAGTCTTGCTCTTTCTCACATAGTTAAAAATGGAGCTATCATATGACCCAGCAATTCCATTCCTAAGTAAATACTCAAGAAAAATGAAAACACATATTCACACATAAATTTGTACATGGATGTTTATAGAAAAACTACTCATAATGGCCAAAACAATCCAAACGGTTATCAACTGATAAATGGTTAAACAAAATGTAGTATACCCATACAATGGAATATTATTCAGTCATAAAAAGAAATGAACAGCTGATACTGCTACAGTGGCTGAGCCTTGAAACATTATGCTAAGTGAAAAATGCCAGGCTTAGAAGACTACATACTAAGTGATTCTACTTATATGAAATGTCCAGGACAGGCACAAATTTACAGGGACAAAATGTAGATTAGTGGTTGTCTAGGGCATGGGGGTTGGGGGATAGAGGATGCTAGCTAAAGGGTGTTAAAAATGTCCTACAACAGGTGATAGGTGCGCCTATTTGTTACTATACTAAAAACCACCAAAATGTGTGAGTTGTATGATACATGAATTTTATCTCAATAAAGCTGTTTTAAAAAGTCATCACAAAGCCCTGGCTGGCGTAGCTCAGTGGATTGAGCACAGGCTGCGATCCAAAGTGTCACTGGTTTGACTACCAGTCAGGGCACATGCCTGGGCTGCAGGCCAGGTCCCACTTGGGGGCACAAAATAGGCAACCACACATTGATGTTTCTCTCCTTCCCTTCCTCTCTCTCTAAATATAAATAAAAATAAAATCTTAAAAAAAAAGTCATCACAGGAGACTTCTGGCCAAGAGGGAGGTATAGGTAAACACAGTGTTCCTCCTCAGACAACCAAAAGAAGAACAAAAACAATTTAAAAACAAAAATTAACCAGAACTGCCAGAAAATCTAACTGTATGAAAGTCTGACAGCCAAGGAATTAAAGAAGAAACATTCACCCAGACTGGTAGGAGGGGTGGAGATGGAAGCCAAGGCAGGTAGGACACATGACAAGGTGGCAGCTAGAGGACCAGGAGGGTGAGGTGGCAGCTGGTGGTCCCAGATCTGCATGGGGATAAACCAGGAGGAACAACTGGGGAGAGAGAGAGAACAAGCAACCCAGGGTTCCAGTGCGGGAAAAGAAAGCCTCAAAACCTCTGGCTGTAAAAACCTGTGGGTGTTGTGGTGGTGGGAGAAATTCCCAGCCTCACAGGAGAGTTCACTGAAGAGACTCACAGGGTCCTAGAACATACACGAACCCACCCACCGGGAATCAGCACCAGAATGGCCCAGTTTGCTTATGGGTAGGGGAGAAAGTGACTGAAAGCCAGCTGAGAGCTGAGCAAGCATCATTGTTCCCTGTCAGACCCCTCCCCCACATACAGGGACACAATGCAGCAATGTGGGTTGCCCCTCCCTAGTGAATACCTAAGGCTCCACCCCTTGCAACAAAACAGGTGCACCAAGGCAAAAAAAATATATATGGCCCAAATGAAAGAACAGATCAAAGCTCCAGAAATAGAACTAAGCAATGAAGAGATAGCCCACTTATCAGATGCACAGTTCAAAATACTGGTAATAAGGATCCTCAAAGAAATGGTTGAGTATGGTCACAAAATAGAGGAAAAAGTAAAGACTATGCAAAGTTAAATAAAGCAAAATATAAAGAGAACCAACAATGAAGGGAAAGAAACCAGGACTCAAATCAATGATTTGGAACTGAAGGAACACATTGAATCATTCAACCAGAACACAATGAAGAAACAAGAATTCAAAAAAAAAAAAATGAGGAGAGGCTTAGGAATCTCCAACACAATTTTAAATGTTCCAACATCCAAATCATAGGGGTGCCAGAAGGAGAAGGGGAAGAGCAAGAAGTGGGAACTTATTTGAAAAAATAATGAAGGAAAACTTCCCCAATCTGTGAAAGAAAATATGCTCCTGGAAGTCCAGGAAGCACAGAGATTCCCAAAGAAGTTGGACCCAAGGAAACACATACCAAGGCACATCATCATTACATTACCCAAGGTGAAAGATAAGGAGAGAATCTTAAAAGCAGCAAGGAAAAAGGAGACAGTTACCTACAAAGGAGTTTCCATAAGGCTGTCAGCTGATTTCTCAAAAGAAACCTTACAGGCAAGAAGTATTGGAAGTCATGCAAGGCAAGGACCTACATCCAAGATGACTCTCTCCAGCAAAGCTTTCATTTAGAAGGGAAGGGCAGATAAAGTGCTTCCCAGATGAGGTCAAGTCAAAGACGTCATCATTACCAAGCCCTTTTTATATGAAATGTTAAAGGGACTTATCTAAGAAAAAGAAGATCAAAACTAGGAACAGTAAAATGACAACAAACTCACAACTACCAACAACTGAACCTCAAAAACAAAAACAAAAACAAACTACGCAAAAAACTAGAACAGGAACAGAATCACAGGAATGGAGGGTTATCAGCAGTGATGGGGAGGGAGAAAGGTAGAGGAAAAGGTACAGGGAATAAGAAGCATAAATGGTAGATACAAAATAGACAGAGGAGGTTAAAAATAGTATAGGAAATGAAGAAGCCAAAGAACTTATATGTATGAACCATGGACATGAACTAAAGAGGGGAATGCTGGTGGAAGGGGAGGGACAGAGCAGAAGGGAGTAAAGGAGAGAAAAAATGGGACAACTGTAATAGCATAATCAATAAAATACACTTTAAGAAAGTCATCGCAGAAGCCTAGTGTTAGGTGCGAATACATTCCTGAGAACATTATGCAGTCAAGTCTGACAAACACTGCTTTGGCCACTAGGACGTGAGCAAACTGAGCAGCCTAAGGGTGCATACACTCTGTGCCTCATGCTTTGTGGCTAATGAGGGGCTGCAAGGTATCTTCAAAAACCTGGAACTCTGCATGTTCACCTTGAAGGGCTTTACTGTGTCTCTCTCCCCTCTGGTCAGAGGACATCAGTGGTAAGATTCTAAAATGGAGCAGGCTACAGGGATATGTACTTGGCTTCTTCTTGAATGGAGTGAGGAAGAGGAAAACTAACATTTATTGAGCATATAGGTGATGGGCCAGCCTCATTCTAAGCCAGTAAGTGGTGAGACTGTTATTACATTCCCTTTATTGGAAAGTTCTCATAGTGTGGGACACCAATCCACTTCATATTCCCAGTGGCAGATGCTTTGGGATACGTGAGGAAGCAGCTCACAGGGTATGGCATGCAGAAGGCACTCAATACATATTTATTGAGTAGACATTTGGGCCAATATAGCAGGGAGGCAGAATATGCATTAAAATTCAGATTATAGCCCTGAACGGTGTGGCTCAGTGGGCTGAGCGCTGTTCTACAAGGTATAGGCTGCCAGTTCAATTTCCAGTCAGGGCACATGTCTGGGTTGCAAGTTCAGTCCCCTGTCAGGGCACATATGAGAGGCAACCAATAGATGTTTCTCTCTCACATTGTTGTTTCTCTCCCTCTCTTTCTCCCTTTTTTCTCTTCTCTCTAGAAATAAATAAATAAATCTTAAATTAATTAATTAATTAAAATGTCATATTATAAAGGATTAAGTATAAATTCTTCATGTTAGATGCATGATAAACAATGAAAAAAAGATTGAATTTAAACATTTATTCTGTTTGTTAAATATTTTAAATCCGAACTAAATATGCTTATGGAATTCTGAGAGTCTAAGGTAGAGAGTGCGGACGGTTTGTCAGTGGGCACCACAGCTGGGAAGTACAGATGCAGCCGGAAGGCGGTTCTCCTCTGACAATGGACGGCAACGGGAACAGGGGAACATGGACGTGATGGCTTTAAAAGATGACCACAGATGAGATCAAAGGTAATAAAAGCCAGCTTCTGGGCTATGATCCAAATGAATTCATTAGAAAATAAAACCTCTTTAAGAGAGCATGAAGCATTAGCCCTCTACTCAGCAAAGGACGTGCCAGCCAGGGAGACCACCAAGCCCCAGCCATGGTCCTGCACGACCGGTAGTTCCCTGGAAGCCTGGGAGTGAACATCAGGGTCAGGTGCACACACCAGGATGCCGTTCAGAACAGGTGGAGTGCATCTGCTTAAACCAGATGAAAACAGCCCTCCCTCACCTTTACAAATAGGGGTGCTGATGCTTTCATCGCCTAATCACCACAGCGCTGAAAAGGGCCATCATGGAACACCCAGCCCCATGTGTGCCTCAGGGTTATATGCGTCCCCCTGGTGGGACAGGGGATGATTTTAGTACTCTGGTGTATTAGTTTCCCAAGGCTGCAGAAATTACTACTGACTTGGTGGTTTAAAGTGACAGAAACGTGTTCTCTCACAGTTCGGGAGTCTGGAATTCTGAAATCAAGGTGTCGGGGCAGGCCCGCGCTGCCTCCAAACGCTCCAGGGGAGGGCCCTTCCTTGCCTCCTCTAGCTCCCGGGGGTTGCCAGCAACACATCCCTCCAATCTCTGCCTCCACTGTCACCTGGTGCTCTCCCTGGGTGTCTCTGACTGTGTCCAAATTTCCTGCTTCATATAAGGACACTAGTCATTGGATTAGGGCCTATAATCCAACATAATCTCATC